GTCTACATAGTGAGTTCCAGGACAGCTAGGACTATTTAGTGAGGCCCTGCCTGAAAAAACAAAAACCAAAATGCTTCTATACATAAAAGAGATATTCAGGTAATAATTCTGATATCTACTCAACTAATTTCATAAGGTATTTCCTTTGTAAAAAATTACAAAACATATGGTTTTTATTTTCTATATAAAAATTATGAGACAACTACTTTTTACCAACCCAAAAGCTAAGAATATCATCGTATAGCATTTTATGAGCATTCATAAGACCTATTGCAGAAATTTACCCACTTTGCTTCAACCTGCCTTTCTCATCAGTTCTTAACTGATGACTTTCTAGGCTCTGTAAGTAAAAGTTCATGCAACCAACTTCCACATTAGAACTTGTTATAAAGGGCAAACTAAACCCATCTTCCCAGTCCATGGTCACTCATACTTGGTGCAGAATATCAACTTTCTATTATTATTACCTTTGAGGACAGATCTGTTTCGCACTGACACCCTTAAGTTCTTATTACAAACTTTTCTTTTTAAAACTATTTTTTATGTGTATGAGCGTTTTGCCTGCATCTTATGTAAGAGCACCTGTGTTGTGCAATGTCCCCTTAGGAGAGAAGAGGGTGTCAAAGCCCCTGGAACTGGAGCTACCAACAGTTGTTAGCTGCCATGTGTGTGCTGGGAACCAACCCCAACTCCTCTGCAAGAGCAGCCAGTGCTCTTAACGGTTGAGCCATTTCTCCAGTCCTAAAACCTTTCCTTAAGTGCCAAGCTTGCTTCACACTGCCTTGTTCTGGATTATTTTCTGCAGCATAAATCATAACTAGAGGTCCCAAGATTAATTTCTGGCCCTTTGGCACAGTTTGTATTTGAAAGTGATTCATTTTAATTAAGTTCACTTCACCCCAACCTTTTAAATGGTTTTCCTTAGCAAGGAAGGTTTAGAAAAGTTTGTTTCCTCCAGGGCTAAAACGTAGCAGTTTTTGTTTTTCGGTTGTGTACGTAGTGTAGGGGAAAAGGAAACAAAAGAAGCTCCTTTCCAAGTCAGACTGGAAGGCGGCCAAGGAGAACTAGCCGCCCTGGAGCGTCCCCGACTGGTCTCCAGCTCCAAGAGGGCCTACCGGGGCACTCCGGGCCTTGGCCGAGCCAGACCCCACCTGCTCCATATCCTGCAAGGCCGAGCTAGCAGGACCCCAGCGCACGGGCCCCGCCGGCCGAATGGGAAGCCCCGGGTTCAGCCCCCGGCGCCGGGAGCTTGGGGCCCGTGGCGGCCTGTCGGTGCCCGGCGTCCCTGCAGCCTCACTCTAGCAGACCGGCCTGGTCGCAGGGCGCGATCTCATTGGCTGCGGCGGCCGGGCCTTGCTCTAGAGCGCTTGCGCAGCGGGACTGAGCAGCTGCCCCCGCCGGGCCGTCCGCGCTCCGTGGCCTCGCTCCCCGCCCGTTTCGAAGCCCTGACTGTCCGCGTCCTTACCCCGCGCCCTGCGGTGCTCCCAGGCAGAGCTTCAGGAGGCGCAGGCCGGCACTCAGCGACGCGCCGACCAGGTCTGAGGGAGGCAGGCGACGATTGGCGGGCAGGTGGGAGGATCCGCGCTGAGGTAACGGACCCGACGGCGTGGGACAGGCGCGCGCACGCGCAGAGTCCTGGAAAGGCGGGGCTGCGTCCTGAGTGCCCCTGACCACAACTGCTGGTTGTGCAGCTATGTAGCCTTAGTCTCCTTCATAAGTTAGAAGGATCCCTTTCCTCTGGCTTGCATTTTCCTCTTGACTTTGGCTCGTGCATAATCTGGCCGCACCTAATTTATTTGAGATAGGGGTTCCACTGTAGCCCACGCTGGCCTTGAACTCCTGGCAATTCTGCTTCAGTCTCCAGAGTGCTTGGATTACAGGAGTGAGCCACCACGCCCACTACCAGGCTATTTTAAATGTGAAGCAGTCACCGTCAGCATGAGCTTTTTACTGTTTTATTGCACGCCTGTAACTTTGGGCTCCACAACCTGCCAAGGATGGGATTTCGCAAAGACAAGGAGAACCTGTTGCCGAGTCTGCGCCGTCCATTCCATCTTTGCTGAAAGCTTGCGTCCTTCTGTCTCGGCCCTCCCTGAAGGACCCTTGCCATCCGATGTGCGGGGGCCTCGGTCTCTCCAGCTTTCCCGGTTTTTTTCTGAGGCTTAACTTTCCTACACCTGTGAGACTATGGACTTCTTCCAAGGATGCTACTTTCACCTGTTTTGAGAAATCACTTCCTTGGTCCCTCCTCACAACTTCGTTGATTTCCTTATTCAGAGCATTTGTCAGAGACTCGAATACATGGTTTATATTATCAAGTTAAGGATGAGGTACCACTTTGGAGAACAGGCTACAGATACTAATGATGACTTCTGAAGAGGATTTTTAGCTTCCTAGTGGTTTGGAGGAACAATCCTTGTTTAGATATTGAAGTTCTGGCATATTTGCTTAAAATGTTCTCTAGGTGCTGGAGAGATGGCTCAGTGGTTAGGAGCACATACTGCTCTTACAGATGAACAGTTTGGTTCCTAGCACTCATATCTGGGGACTGACAACCATCTTTAACGCCACCTCTAGGGGATCCCAGGCCTCTTGCCTCTCTAGGCACCTCCACTCACATGCACATGCCCACATACAGATGTGCACACATATATAATTACAAATAACAAAAGTAGAGAAAAATCGTGTATAAAAATATTTTCCTTAAGGGGTTGGAGATATGGCTCAGAGGTTAAGAGCACTTGCTCTCATTGCAGAGGACCTGGATTCAGTTTCAGCACCACATGGACCTTAACAACCATCCCTAACTCCAGTTCCAGGGGATTGGATGCCCTGTTCTGGCTTCTGGGGCTCTGTGCACATGTGGCACTTACACAGATTCAGGCAAAACATCAATACACATAAAAATACAAATAAAATGTTTTTTTCTTTAGCCATATCTAACCTCTTACACATTGTGAAAAATCATATCGTATTGGGTGAGGTGGCTCAGCAGGTAATGGCATTTGCCTGATGAGTTCTATCACCAGAGTCTATGTAAAGATAGAATTGATTACAAAAGGTTGTCCTTGACTCCAAGTGGATGTGGCATATGTGCTCGCCCCCACATCATGCACACACACTAATAAATTAAAAAAAGTCATATAGTATCCTAAGATACATTGAAGAGGGTAATTTTTTTGGTTTAATACTCTGGATTTTAGTGTTCATTTTCAGCATCTGGCAATTCCTTTTTTATTATTTTTTGATTGATTTTTATGTTCATGAGTGTTTTGCGGGCTTGTAAGTGTACCTGTGTCATACAGTGCCCAAGGAAGTCAGAAGGGGGAATCAGATGCCCCTGGACCTGGATTTGTTAGCTGTTGTGTGGGTACTGGGAACTGAACCTGGGTTCCTTGTAAGTAGCCAGGACTCTTAACTGCTGAGCCATCTCTCTTGCATCATTTGGCTATTTATCTTTTAATTTTTATTTTATGTATGTGTGTGTCTGAGTGTATGTAAGTATACCTCATGTGGACATGAGCTTGACGGTATCAGATGATGGTGATGGATCCCCTGGAGCTGGAGTAAGAGGTGGTATTGAGTAGGTGCTGGGAACTGAACCCAAGTCCTCTGCAAGAGCGGTAAGGATTCTTAACTGCTGAGCCATCTCTCCAGCTCCACATAGCTATTCTTAATTACCGGACTGAGCACACACTAAACTTGTTCCTTACCCCCAGACGTGTTTCTGATAACTCCAGGTACCTGCTTGAAGTTTCCCTCTTTGTAAGTGTGCACAGTATTCAGTGTGTGGATTTTCAGTTTGAATTTAGAAATGAAAAGGAATTTGCCATACTTTGGTTCTCCTAAATTTAAGTTAAAAACAATTTGAAAAAAAAATCACCTTTCTTTTCTTTTTTCTTTCTTTTTTGAGACATGATCTCCCTATAGCTCCAGCTGTCCTGGAACTCACTATGTAGACATGGCTGGCCTCGAACTCACAGAGATTGGCTTGCCCCTGCCTCCCAAATGCTGGGATTAAGGCATGTACCACCATGCCCAGCTGAAAAATCACTTTTCATTGTGGATAAAACCATTGCAAATTGCATATAAATGAAACTTTGAAATTAAATTTTTTTTGGTCTTTTTGAGACAGGGTCTCCCTGTAGCCCCAGATGTCCTGGAACTCACTATGTAGACCAGGCTGGCCTTAACCTCACAGAGATCTGCCTGCCTCTGCCTCCTGAGTGCTGGGATTAAAGGTGTATGCCACCACACCCGGCTGAAATTTAAATTTTTTAATTGAATTTTTGTGTATCTCATGCACATCCTCATCATCTTGGTACTCTCTTTCCCCATCGGCACCCTCTCATAGCCCCCCACCCCACCCCACTGGATTTTATGCATTCCGGCATTTATGTTAAGGTCTATCATGTCAAGTTAGTGTCCCGACATTCTTTAGTGCATGTTTATGCACTGAAGTCTAGTCAGCCTATCTAGTCACTCCCTTAAAGAGGATCAAGTCTTCCTCACCCAGCAGTAATCAGCTGCCCAGTAGTTCTTTGGGCAAGATTGGGGCCAGCTGCCCATTTCCACAGTCCTATGCTGGGTTTTTTTCTGCTGTGTTTGCATGGATCTTGTGCATGCTGCCACCCTTGCTGTAAGTTTGTATGTCACAGGACCCAGTAAGACGCTGTATCCATGTGGTCATGTACCTCCTGTGGCTCTTAAAATCTTTCTGCCCACTTTCCTGTAATGGTCCATGGGCTCTGCATGGGTGAAGTTTAATATGGGAATCCTGTTGAAGGACCCACACTCAGCAGACTTAATCTATATGCTTTAGACATTTGTGTTCTTGCCCTCTGTTGCATGAGGGAGCTTCATTAATGAGAGTTGAGAGATGCATTAGTATTCTCTCTACCCCTTGTTCCACTAGGTTCCGTAAGCCTTGGGTGCAGAGGTTCCATTGTAGATGTATCACTTACATGTTGGGCATCTCACAATCTCTGTGTGTGACCAGTTTTGGAACTCTGTAAAAGTCTCTGTCTATTGCAAAAGAAGCTTCTTTGTTACATGGTGATTAAGTTTTTTATGCCTCCTGTGCCTGCATCTGCATGTAATGCTCACAGAGACCAGAAGAGGGCATTGGATCCTCCTAAACTGGAGTTAAGGTTGTTAGGCACCATGTGTGTGCTGGGAACCAAACCTGGGTCCTCTGCAAGAATAGCTGGTGTTCTTAATCACTGAGTCATTGCTCCCACCTATAAATGAAATTTTTATTGCTTGAAAATTATCTGTTAACTTCCAGTGTCACTAAGGTACAAAAGCTGAATACAGTGGTTATTTTTTATAGCCTTTTATTTTCAACACTGATTGTTTGAACGTAAAAAACCAAAACCCTTTATGAACTAATGGTTAGTGAAAAGCCAAACCTTTCCAGCCCACTTCATATTTTCTTTCAGCCATTTCAGGGCAGAACAATGTTCGAGACTATAGACCTGCTCCTTATTAATATTGACGGTCATGTGCTTAATGAAAAGCTTGGGATCTGATATGCGAGCAGCCATGATCAGTCTTTCTACTGCAGCTTGATAGTCATCCTTGCTTCGAGATTTGTTTTCTTCAGATCTACAAAAGGAACATAAAAGTAGAAGTTCTCAAAAGAAGTAATATGGTTTCTTCAGAAGAGTCATGTATATTTATTGGTTCTAAACTATTATAGTTTTCTACCATATCCTTTAGTAGTGGCTCTCAAGCTTTGTGGAACACAACTCATAGTAAGAAAAACATTTTATATTAGCCACATATTTTATATTATATTTCATTTTTAATAATTCTGGTTCAATATCCTAAAATGATTTCATCACAAAATAAGTTGCAACAGATAGTTTAAAAAACACTGATCTGCCAGGCATGGTGGCACATGCCTTTAATCCCAGCACTTGGGAGGCAGAGGTAGGTGGATCTCTGTGAATTCAAGGCCAGCCTGGTCTACATAGTGAGTTCCAGGACAGCTGGAGCTACAGGGAGACCCTGTCTCAAAAAGACCAAAAAAAAAAAACAAAAACAAAAAACAAAAAAAACCCCCGAAAACCAAAAAACCCCACTGATCTAGAACACAGTTTACCTACATCTTTGTATTTGCAAAGTTAGTAAGTATAATTATTACACTGTATGAAATGTTATTAAGTAAACAAAGCTTGGAATTATTAATACTCAGATTAATTTTTTCTTGATATTGGCTATTTCTGGTTACAAACAAGTACTTAACATGCAGGTAACACTTGTAACAAACTCTAGAGTTGCATGTCTTTTAATTTCTGGTGATTTTCTTTAGTCCTGACTTAGGTACTTTGTTAAGTATTAGAATTTACTGTTACAATAACTGTTTTACCAGCTCCATCTTCTATCTATTGTGATTGTGTTTACTTGCATAAACATAATATATGGGGGGCTGGAGAGATGGCTCAGTGGTTAAGAGCACTGATTATTCTTCCAGAGGACCTAGGTTCTCAGCACCTACATGGCAACTAACAACTATCTATAACTCAAGTTCACGGGGATTCAACACCCTTTTCTGACCTCCTTGGACATTGCTCAACACGGGTACATTTATAAACATGCAGACAATATACTCATAAAATAAAATAATTTAAAAAAATGTTTTTTTTTTCTGGAGGAAAGACATGATTGTGTTCACCTGCTTACTGCTCTTGCTACCTTGGGTTCTGGTCAACAGCAGGTTCTGAGACTGGTCCTACCTGCATTAACACCAGTGTGGGCTACTGGGTGACCTAAATGAGGCTTGTACTTGAAATAAGAACCATGGCCAAAGAGAGGAAACAGAGACCAGGTGCCTTCTAGGGCTAATTTAGTGTTTTTTTTTTCTTTTGAGATAGGCTCTCCCTGTAGCCCCAGCTGGCCTGGCGCTTGCTATGTAGACCAGGCTGGCCTCAATCTTCACAGAGATCTGCCTGTCTCTGCCTCCTGAGTGCTGGGACTAAAGACGTGGACCACCACTCCCAAGAGGCTTACTAATCTAAAGAGACATTTTAGAGAGACTGAAGAACCTCATATTTGGCATATACCCAAGGTCTAAAGATGAAAAAAATTATAATAGATGTTAGTATCAAAGGCAGGGCTTAGCATGCCAGAAAGACAAAACAAAGTGCTCTACACTAAATCAAAGATTGAGACATGTCACTAGTTATAGCCAGGCCACAAACAGCCCCAAATTCAACAATGAATAAACTGGCTGTGTGTGGGGGAAATTGGAAGCAAAGAGAAAACAAAAACTCTTGTGAGGATAAGAACTGGATGCCTCATCCCATGCAGTGCACTGTCAAATAAGGAAATCTCCCCTTCCCTTCCAAAGAACAGAACTCTAAGAACAAAGACTAGTTTTAGTAGGTTTTCAAAAGACAGTGCAACTAGAATTATTTTGGCCTCTTAAATGTGGATTATACTAAATGACCTCTATAACAAATTGAAGAAAGCAAAGTGACATTGAGCAGCTCTGACTATGAGGGCTTTAGGGGACAATTTTCTATGGGCCACCTAGATTTGGGAAGTTCTGTGAGATACACTAACTATCCCTTGTTACAATTTCAAGTATTTAAATAGTGAAGAACCTTGGAAGGAGACAATTTCTCCTTCTGGAGCAAAAGGCAGGCTAACCGACAGCCTTAGGAAATAGAGAAGGTGTCTTCCTACAGAAAAAAGAACCAGCAGGCTTGTTACCCATTGTAAGAGAATTGAGTTCTTTAGGTTTGGCCTTCCGGTCATAGAAACACCCCTCCTGCCATGTTCACAAGTCCATGTGGGTATCAGTAGGACTCAGGGGCAAGAATGAATAGCTGACATGTAGACCAGGTGCTTGGTATGCCATAGTAAAGTACTCTGTCTCCGACACAGGAGTTGTCTTTCACTGGTATGCATGGACCTGTGGCAGAACAACATATACCTTACCAAAGAGTAAACTCTGATTGTCACAGTCCTTGCTTAAGAGAAGTCACAAAAGGCACTTGGCTTTCTCCTAGCATTTCTCTTTTGGATCACTCACTCTGGGAAAAGGTGACACTCAAGTAATCTTTTTTTAAATATGTATATTTTATAATAACTTTCACAATAAAAAAGTATTAAGAGTCCACATCTGAAAAACTGAAGACCTTCCCAGGGATAAGGGTTGTAGGAGTGTCCATATTGGCATTTATGCCAGATTATGTCACTCTGGATCAGTAAGGAATAATAAGATTCATGGGTAAAAAAAGGTAAAGACCTTTTAAAGTTCTGAACTCTAAATACTATAGAAGTTGGCACTCAAGATTCAAGCCGGGAATGGCGGCACACGTCTTTTTTTCTCAGCACTTGGGAGGCAGAGGCAGGCAGGTCTCTGTGAGTTCAAGGCCAGCATGGTCTACACAGTGACTTCCAGGCTAGTGGGGGCTACATGGAGACCCTGTCTCAAGAAGACCGAAAACAGATTCATATTTTTGAACATCCAACAACATTTTGAAGTCACTAAAGTGTTTACTAAATGTTATTTACTTATTTGGGGTTCTTGAGTCGGGAAGTAAACCCAGGGTCTTCATGCATGGTCTACACACTCTACCACTAAGCTTCATTCCTAGCCCCTTAACTTGTTTGGTTTAGGCCCAATTCTTTCTCAGTTTAAATGTTAGCAAGCATTCATCACTCTGCTTCCTGATTATGGATGTGGTATACAATTGTTTCAAGCTCCTGCAGCCTTGACTTCCTACCATAATGGATTGTACCCTTGAACTCTGAGCTAAAAATAAGCCCTTTCTCCTTAAAAAAATGTTAGTGAAGTTTATAATACAGACACAAAGTATAAACACAACACATAGACAACACATAATAGGGCAAGTGTGGAGAGCTACAATCTGCATTCAGAATGCATTTGGAGTTCTGTCAACCAACCTTTTCAGAACAATCTGCAGCATCTGTGTAGAAGTGCCAGGGCTCTGAATGTTGCTGGCATTCGTCACCAGGAAGATTTCTATAGCTAAAAGCATTTCAATCTCAGACAGATAAGAAGGAACAAGTAGAAGTTTTCTGTATAAATTTCCCTCTAATGGTGGGTAGCACCCCAGTGAAAGAGCATCTGAAAATTAAGTACCAGGTAAAACTTCAGATTTCTAAAGTATTCACAGATGATAGCTACTTACATTTCAGAGTAATTCTTCACATTAGATTTATTAAGCCTTTTATGGCAGTGACAATTGACATGGCTCTTTATAAAATGTTTTTGAAATGTCAAATATAGCCTGATAAAATTTTTCTTAAAAACACTGTATTTATGTGGACATGTACTGCCTGCATGTATGTAAGAGTACCCATGTCATGCAATGCCCAGGGAGGTCATCCATTACTCCAGTTCTAGGAGATCCAATGTCCTCTTCTGGCCTCCACTGACACTGTATGCACATTGTGCACTTATGAACACGCAGACAGAACACACACATAACAGAAAAATAATATATAAAATATTTTTTTAAAAAGTGGGGACTGAAGAAATGTATTAGTGGTTAATAGCCCTGGCTGGTCTTCCAAAGGATCTGGGTTCAGTTCCTAACACCCACATGGTGACTTACAGTAACTCTAGTTCCAGGGGATCTGAAGCTCTCCGCTGGCCTCTGTGGTGCTGCACATGTAAGGGTGCATTTACATGCAGGCAAAACACTCATACACATAAAGTAAAAATTAAAAAATAGGAGGGGTGCTGGAGAGATGGCTCAGCAGTTATGAGCATTGTCTGCTCTTGCAGAGGACCTGGGTTCAGTTCTCAGCACCCACATGATGGCTAACAACTGTCCATAACTCCAGTTCCAGAGGATCCAACACCCTCTTCTAATGTCCATGGGCATTTCATGACATGGGAGCACTTACATACATGCAGATAATACACTCATACACATAAAAAAATTAAAAAAGTAAATATTTTTTAAAAGTCACTCTAGTGTAAATGATGACTGCTAACATCTGAGAACTAAATGTCTGAACATAAATCCAAAGACGTTCCAGT